TATCTTTCAAAACTTAATATTTCAGCAAAACGGGTGCCATCGTTTTGCTGCAAAAAAGTATCGGCATATTTGCATAGAATCTTTCTCGATAAGTGGATAAGGCGAGGTGGTCCTATAGATTGGCCAGCTAGCTTACCAGACTTGTCACCTATTAAATTTTTTGAGAAGATTCTTAAAATTTCGCTAGTATAGCAGTAGAAAGCTAGATACACCGGATGAGTTAAAGAAGCGTATAATTGACGCAGCAAAGTGTTTGGCCTCGAGCTGAATTAAATTTAGTGGCAACCTCAGTTATTATTAGGGCTACAAAAAAATGTTTGCATGTACGGCAAACGACAGTTCTAACTTTGAACAGTTTAGTCTTTTTGTAATATCCTTTTGTCGCTTTAAATTAAATAATTTTGTTGATTGATAATTATTACTTTTTTATTATTTTCTTTAATATCTTTGAGATAAAACCCTCAGGATGGGTTCTAGAACAATTTCCATAAATTTTTCATTCGAGTCGCGGGTGTCCCTGATTACAATGAAAAAGTGGAACACTTTGTTAAACCAATTTGGATTTACTGGGAACACTCAAAGCAAAAGGAAACAAAGCTGTAAAAAAAATTTGAATATGAAGAAATGTTTCAGATCATTGACTAATGTTTTATATGAATGAAACGAAAAATAACATCAGTTTCAAAATCAATCACGCTTTATGCTAAAAAGAAGCAAACATTTAAGTTACAAAAACAGAAAAATCTTTCAAACTTTACACAAATATTTAAAATCTGATAAGAAAATTTTAGTCGACAAGCACCGATACAAAAATTGTAAAATTTTAATCTTTTTCGATAAATATTCGAACTAGCACAATTAAACCAAATTTGATTTGGTTTATTTCGATAATACGAAAAGAAAGTGCATTGGCTAATTTTAACTAAAAAAATATCGTAATGTCTGTACCTAAAAATCGATATGTTGTTGACACAATGGAGAAATATGCATTTTATTTTTAGTAATGCGTGCCACTAATAAGGTTTAAGCGTTTCCTTATTTGTACACTCTTTACGCTTGGCCCAATTTGATTCTTATTTTACTTCTCAGAAATATCTCTCAGAGTTCTCACGAATATGAGCACTATGCACTTTTAAAATAAAAATATGAACATTATGCACTTTTAAAATAAAAATATATCCAACGTACTCTTTGGAATACTTTATTTAACACCGGCAAAGAAATACTAGGTGGGTAACTAATCATCTTTTCTAGGTAACAAATTGAAATAAAATCTCAATAACGCCTGATTTAGCCGGTTTTCATTTTACTGCTACAAAAGGGCAATCGTGCCTGGCATTAATATTAATTTAGCTATCGACTGCAATTATGAACGAGCACTAAACATGTTCTTCCATATATCTCTATTATATTTTGCTCGAAAACTCTTAGGTGCAAAGAAAGCCAAGAGAAAGGTTAGTTTTTAAAATCAAATCATCAAACCAATCAACCAAGTACCAAACCTAACGAAACCTGTTCAGCCTGAAGAAATCAAATCAACCTTACTTTTAACACCGCAACCTATTATTTATAGGAATTAAGTTACTTGCGGCTCCTTGAGCGCCGAAATTTAAAAGAAATGTACACCCAATTTAAAACACTCTGTATAGGCATCATTAATTACTCTTCTTGTGCAAAAAATTATATGTTCGTTTTCCAATTAATTTTCCAAGTATCTGAAATTTAAAAAACCACTGTGTCTGAATGAATCACTAAAGGCCCTGGCAAAACTTGTTAAGGTAAAAGTTGTTAATAAAGAGTAAGAAAAAAAATTGGTATGAACTCTCATTTTTCTAAAGCCGCCACATTCAGCTTCAATAAATGAATCAACTAAATTAATACAGAGCGTTTCAAGCAGTATCTTATAATAATTTGTCTTCTACTTGCAACTGGAATGTAAATATACAATGGGCAAAAATACAGTTGTAGTAAAAATAAAAATAGACAATTCAACGGTCTATAGAAATGTATTAATACACTTTATTTTCTTTGTATCTTGATATTGGAACATCAATAAACTGCACCTTAACCCGACTATCGTTCAACTTATCAGCATTATTCCCAACTTCGTTATTCTCCACTCTCATTATTCCTTCAGCTGTATGTTTGCCTGTTTCGAAATCCTCGAATTCCGAATTCGAAAACCAGCAGCAAAAAGTGTTCGCCAAAAATTTACTGATTTTCCTACACGCCAGTATGGTGATGTTTAAATAGGTGTAGAGTAATGGATTTAGGGCGCAATTTAAAAGATATAGGGAGATGGCCGAAAATCTCAGGTTCCACAGGATATTTCTATCGACGCTTTTAGCTTGCTGATAAAGCATTACCAGCCAATACGGCATTCTGCACCCGATAAAAGCGATTATAAGAGTTACGACGATTTTAAAGCTTCGGACTTTTCTCTCCATTTGCACCTTTTTCTTTTTGTCCGTACATTTACTAAGTGAAACACATGAATCTTGCGTTTGCGTAGGCTTGGAGGAACAAGACGTGTCGGTAAATTCTTGTTGATTTAAATGTTCAGCCGGTGGTTTTCGGTGTCGCCAAATAAGAAATGCGATCTTATAGTAGAACCAAAAAAACATCAAAACTATTGGCAAAAAGAACAAACAGTTCATGCATATGTAATAAAGGAAAATTGTGGATTTGGTCACTGGGGCTCCTGTGCACATTGCAGCTTCATCCACTTCGTTTATCAATATGGGGAAATAGATGTAGAAAGTCACCACTGGATAAGAAAGGCCTTAAATGATTTAAATAATGTTGAAAAAATAGACCTAATTAAAATGGATAAAATAACCTGCACATATCATCCAGAGAATTGTGGCTCCGCAAATGCATTTCCATAAGCACGGATCCCATTTCTTGGTTATGGCATGGATCACGTTATGATAGCGATCCAGAGCAATAACCAAAAGTGCCACAGAACTAGTTAAATTTCCCAATACTTGTCCTACGGGAATATAGTGGCACATGTACTCACCATATATCTGAAATGAATATCTTATTCTTAAAGTTTACGATAGCTGCGCCAATAGCATTCTTAAGGTCTTTAAGTCTTTAAATTTCGTAAAAGAGGATAAACAAATGCAAAAAAAATTTTTTTTTATTATTCGATTGTCGCTGGAAGTAAGACTTAAAAGTTGCTGGATAACATTAATAAAAGTAGATGTACTTATGAGTTTTACAACAATCCCCCAAGCTTGTGGCAGACAACTGCCGCCAATGTTGAGAAAATGTAAAATGTTCTCATATATTTGGAGTTGAACGAACTAAACATAAATAAATGAAATGTTTTTAAGAAAGTGCAAAAGAACCTACCCAAGTCATCCGTTTTTTGCTAAGCAAATCCAAATTGTTCATAGAGAAGAGTATTACAGTAATGATATCGGATAGAGCCAGTGAAATAATGCATGTTTTCTGTAGGTACTTGTATTTCCTAAAACATTTCGAAATGTAGACTTGAAATTTCCACTTTCAGAACTAGTTGAAGTAAGAAAATGGGTGCAAACTATCCCACGACTAGTCTGAGTAACACTTACCTACATATTACAGTTCGCACCACCAGAATGTTACCTAATATAGCAATTATGGTTATTATCAAAATTAGCCAAAAGTATAAGGGACGATTTACTTCAAACCCAATCAGCAAAATTTCGGGCACTTCAATCCTTACCTACAAACAGCTAATATCAAAGATATGTCTGGTTACCTTAACATTCGCCAACAGAAATATACACGGCTTAAGCAGAAATCAAATACTTGTGGAAATAAACCTGACCATACTTACTTTGGAGCTTTTCAGACCCATCGGCACATGAACACTTGAACCACGCTAACAACAAAACCCTAATCGAATTATTGGTAGGCAAACATGTCAAGCAAAAAAATAGGAAGCCCAAGATTAGTCCTCGTACGCAAACATCCCATTTCATTTTAACACCATTCAACGTTATAATATGCAGATAACCTGAATAAAGTAATCAAAAGTGAAGTGGGGCTTAGCAATATGCGATCATGGGGAATGTTTAACTAAAGCATATTCGAACTTTGTAAAGCAATTATTCCGTTGTGCCTAAAATTTGCTAATTTGGATTATTAATTTTACAAGAAATTTATTTTTGATCTTGAATTATTATTTGATAATTGCAATTATCCTAAATCAAGTAAAGTCCAAGCCTTGATACTGATAAACAAAATCTATTTAGAGGGGCCAAAAATTAACGCTAATATTGCCGCAAAGTAAGGAAATGAAACACAAATAAAAGAAGTAGACGATTTTGATGCCAAACTGAGTACTGAAGGTAGTGAATATATTTTTTACCTTGAAGCGCCATTCTTTTCCAAGCTACGTAGATTTTGCAGAATGTTTAGTTGAGTTTGATAAGAAGCAATATTTCTACCCATAAAATCAAACGTGTGTCATATCCAAATAAATGTTGGTTGTTTTACTCTGCAATAAAAGCTCAGTTAAATGAATGAGCTAAAAGTTACTAAGTTTTGAAGCTTTTGCAACCTACGTTTTAATTTGAATGAACATACGTATAGTTAGATTTACATTTGCGTTAAGCTTTTGATTAATAAATTGCTTGTTGTTTGCTTAGTACTCAATTTTTCCTTTTGCATTTAAGTACAATTAAGCAATACATCAGCTATTAAGTATTGATATTAAGCAGATTGTTTTAAAATAAATCTTAATTAACGCTTTGGAGATTATATTTTATTGTCATGCTTTCAATATACATTATTTATAATTTTGATCAGCGTCAAGCGTTCAAAATTAAGTAAAATTCAATTTTAAAGTACAGTTATGTGTAAGAGATAACAAATATATTTTCTAATTAATTGATCCTAATTTTGGCACTGGATAAATTCTGATTGCTTAGAGCAATTTGGTGTCAATTTGAAGCGTTATTGAGCCCCATGTGTTTTTTGTTAGTCAGTTTGTGGTTAAAAATCAAGAGTCCCAAATTAATTTTCTACATGGTCTAAAATGAAAAAATGCAAAATTTTAGAACCCTTGACATGCTCCTAGTTGGACAAAAAATGGGTTTTTTTGGATCTCAACACCAAAAATTTAAATATAAGGCAAATAGCTCGAAACGGTTTTTGAATTTTTAAGCCATATCTTCCATTTAGAGGGTGGTCTAAAAATCAACGTTTTGGGTATTGCAACGCTTTTTTACTCTTGGTTCTGAGCTCATGTTGAAGCTAAAACTTCATAAACAATTTAAGGCAAAAAACCTTATACATTTTTTTTCAAGTCGTCTGCGAAATTATAGCTTCAACATGAGCATTACTCATTTTGCTAATCGGTTCAAAAGTAAAAATGATCACTGCAAGACAAAAAAGTAAAAGTTACCACTATGTAAATAACAGAGATACGCGAAGGCATTTTTCAGATGAGGTGGATCTTAATGCCCGTGGTGTTGAAATACCAAAAAACCGTATTTTTGTCCAACTTAGAGCGTGTGGAATTGTCACTAATTGTGCAATGTTTCATTTGTCACTCTGTAGAAACTGTTGAGGCACTCATTTTTTTTTTCAAAAAGACGCACTAATGGAAAAGATTTGCACTAAATGACTGCAGTAATATTTGCAGGTCCAAAATTAGTCGAAATTTGTCCGTGTAACGTATATTTTGTTGTGCAGTTTATATCAAATCTTATACATAATGTATGTGTTGTTTTCAAATCGATTGCGGTATTTAATCGTCGTTTTATTAGGCATTTGGATTGTTGTTATGCATTGCACGAAGAAGAAGAAGATTATGTTATGCGTTGCATCAGAATACATATTATTTCCGATAAAAATATACAAGCACATTATTTTCTCATTTATGCATAAAATCGATACTACTTTATTTTTAAGGGTTCTTGCTTCAAATAGCTGTTCATCCAGAATGTACAACATGAACATCCAGTACCTCACTTGTGCCAAACACTCCAATTGATTGGATTGTCAACATTTAGAAAATCGCTGTTTTCTAAGTTTATTCAGTGCTTTAAATTTCCCGGCTCCTTCCGTGTGTTACTTGGCTAAATAAATGTGTGTTTGTAAATTATATTTTGCGGTTGGTTGGCTTACTAATACTTTTATCCAATCTTTATTAAATTTGTTCACATCATGTCATCGCATAGTGTCGTCATTTCGCCCCCTTATAACCGTTGGCAATAAAACAAACTCAGCAACTAGCGCTGGAGGTTTCTGTGGTCGGTCAGTGTCACCCCGAACAGGGGGGCAAATGGGCGTTTCGAGCCCCCATCCATCACCGGGTGCTTCCTGCCCTTTCGGTGCTACTAATATCAGGTCCAGACGTAGTCTTTTGTCTTGTATTATTCACTTTGGGACGACTGCAGTCGTTAGTCCACCGACTTGGGCCTAACTGCACTTGATTTGCTATTTTTCAATGTCTTGAGGGGACGGTTTCGACAATTTGTTGAGTGTGCCAATAGGCAAAAACAAGACCTTTTTTCACAATGAATAGAACCTTAACTTGTATGAGAATTCTTGCTGAAAGGCTAGGTGAAAGAGACTCGGATTGTTTGCATTATTTCCTTCAAATGGTCTTTAACAGGATCAGTAGCAGTACGTTTTTTTATTTGTTAATCTATTTTTATGTTAGAGGATCGGAAAGCTTTGAACTTTTACCTGACATACAATGATATGAAGAACAGTTTTTTATACGTGACAAACACTAAAACCACTGCAGCCGGCATTAGTTTTAAATGAAATATTTTAATGAACCAGTTTCATCAGAATTATAATATTTGCTCTTGAGCGCTTAAGAAATTCGTGTTATTTTCGCTACTCGGTAATCAGTGTGTAGGCATTTGCAGTTTGCCCAAAGCAAAAAACGTGCGCTTAATTGAGATTATATAAAATAAAATAAGCATTTACTAAGGTTTATTACGAGAAAATAGTTACACGTTGCTAAATCACTATCGGTGCACTTTCGAGAACTTGCTTAGTCTTAAAATTATGCGCGTTTTATTAATGAAAATTGGTTATACTTTGGCCGGTGTGAGCTAAAAAGCTACTAAAAAAGAGGACGTAATGTTTACCTACTCGTATATAATTTGCAGTAAAATTATTACAGGGTTTATTGCTAATGGCTTATTTTAACTATTTCTTTGTGAATGTAAAAAATATCTGTATTTATTGTAGAAACATGGCATAACTGCTTGTTTTCAAATTGCCAAATGCAATTTAACTCGCTTTATTAAACACGTGGTGTTTGGAGATTTAGTGCTGCTTATGTCTTAATTTATCAATTATACATTTTTTATGTTTACTGGGTTTCTAGAATTTTTTGAAAATAACTTTGTAAACACTTTTAAGCAATTTGAGTTTCAGCATTTCCTAACAGCTTTTCGCTGTAAGTTTTACCTTTGTGAAAATAGTAATTACATTTATTATTGCTTCATTCGCACTGGTGTTAACCAGCGAACCTACGAATATTATACGATCATTGGGAAATGCGGGCTGGTTGATTGGTCATTTATGTCTTTTAGCGTGCCTATATTTCTTTGCAAAATGTAATAGCGTGTTAAGAGTAGTTCTTATCGAAAGAATGTTCCAACATTTCAGCGATAAACTGTCAATTAATTGTGCTTGGGATATTTAAATTTGCAGCTCTATTTTCCTATTAACTCAGTCAATCGAGGAAATTTATTTCATTACTAAAAAATAATTCACATATAATATGAAATAATAATAAGATCACACCGAAAATTTCTAAGAGAAAGTCAATTTGTTTGTTTGCTTTGGTTTACTCTTTTTAATGGGATTGTAAGACCTTTTCAAATAAGTTGATGTATTTAAAGAACTTTTTTTGCAACTTGCGATTTGTGTCCGTCGATTTTATTGCATTAATGGCATTGTGGTGTCTCAGTTTTTCCGACTTATCGAGAGTTAGTATGCAAAAAATTAAAACTTCAGTTTTAGCTGCATTTTAGTTAATCAAACGAGCTGGCGATAAGCTAGTAATTTGCTTCTTTGAAATTTTGTGGAACCATATAAATAAATCATTTTAATTGCCAGGAAAGCCAACTGCAAAACTTTTTACCAGATTTCGATGATTTGGTGCGGTAAATCTTTCTGATTTCTTTTCGGCCATCCCCGAAAACTTTTCGGAAAGTGCTACGACATAATTCACACAAAGCACGGCTAAATGATAACCTGGCATAGAGAAATGTGCCTTCAGATTCTGGAAACGCATTATTTGCAGCTATTTGCCGCGGCTTAATCGACCGTAAGGCATATTTAAAAAAAGGATAATGTGCTTTTATAAAGAACCGAGACCACGGTTATCTGTCTGGAAAGCGTCGATATATTTTTTTGGCTTTGTATCGGATCAGCAATCAGAACTTCCGCTTTGCGAATTTTTTTGTTCAAAAAAGTCGTATTTATCATGGAATAAACCAAACGGAAATGTGTATTTGACTTTTCTTTTTGCCATTTTCCGGATTTCTAAATATAGAAGAAAATATGAGGAATTCGAAACTTGCGGTTCATGGTGAAGTATTTTTTAGGTTGTGGGAACGTTTCCTATACGTTCTTTATATCGGAAGTGAGAAAACCATTTAGCGCAATAACAACTCAACACCTGAAATAAAACTATTTTTGCAATTAAATTATGTCTCAAGTTTGTTAAGTCTCGGTGCAATATTGCAATATTAATATTTAAATTTGTTAAGGCTACTTTTTAATTACATGATTCACATGGAATGTAGCTAAAGAAGCACTGGATTCTACATAGAATTGCTAAGCTCTTCTAGCTTTTGCACAATTTTACCTACATTAAAACAAGGCATTTTTGCTCAAAACTTCATATTCAGCCACAAACCTTACATAGTTGCTTCTATCGCTCATTATTTCTGCCACTTTTAACAATTCACTCTGCATATGTTCTGCAATTTT